TGATCCAATTGCATTTACCAAAAAAACTAAAATCATTAATTAATTTCGGTGGTAAAAAATCATTATTTTTAGAGATTTTGGATTCGAGCAGATGTATCTATAGAATATGTGTGCATTATCAATAAGTTAAAATATTTAAACAAATATTATCTTATAATTACAGCAGACTATAAAAAAATACTAATAGAAATTTTTCCATGGAAAATGTCTAAACTGAACCAATTACTTCCATGTATTTGTTTTCCCTTTTCCTTTAGAGTTGGAGGCCTTTGAGTGTTATTGAGCTTCAATTAACATGTATTCTAATACACATGAGTAGAACCAATAACGATAGATAAATAAAAATCAAGATGGGGGAGAGCAAATTGATGGAACCCATAAGTAGAACTATTATTTTGTTTTTATTTTATTCATTATTAGTAGATAAATCAAGGTGTCAACAAAATAGATTGAGTTTAGTGACTCATCTATTCCACTTATTAATAATTGATTAATCATCATGCAATGCAAGGATCCCACTTTCATTTAATTCATTTTAATCATTTTCTACAAAAATCTTGTGTTACTTGCTTAAATCAATTTTACTTAGGGATGGGCATGGGTGGGCCGGGCCAGGCCGAGTTTTTGCTCGTCCGACCCTGACACGAAAATATATATTTAAAATATGATTCCGCCCGTCTTGATAAATTTTAGATTTTTTTTCGTTTCGGTCCCGCCCTGATTTTTAGTCTAAAACCTCTTCCCGACCAGATTCAAATATATTAATATTTTAAAATAATTAAAATAATATAATTTATAATAATATATTAATAATTATTTATTATATTTTAAAAAGTTAAATTAACATATTTTATAATATTAATAATTAAATAATATATTTTAATAATATAAAATAAAATTATTAAATATAATATATATATAAATAAAAAAACAATCGGGTTGGGTTGGGTTAATAATTTTTCACCTTAAACCCGACCCCGACCCCGACCCCCAAAATTTTAAAAAAAAACCATCCTTATCAGATTGAATCGGATCGAAACCCGTTCGTGTATTTTGACACTCCCTAATGTTACTCCTTTCCAACTATAATCACTAATTATTTATTCATTTTAAAATTTTAATCAAATTATTTAATTATCCAAAATGATTGAATTTCAAATATTCACTAATTATAATAAAATATTATATTTATGAGTTCTTTTTTATCGTCGATTTCGGATGAATTCTAAAACATCAAAATCAAGGATATTCTGATCAGTCTTTCATATTCATATTAAAAGAGCATTATAGTATTTCATATTCACGTATTGTACAAGAACAATTGTTATAAGCTTATAAGGCTATGTTTTTTTAAAGACACTTTTCTTTGGATTCCTGAGGGAACTTTTTCCAAGCATTTTGTGAGAGACATATGATGACCCACTACATGTGATGTGAGAAACCATTAATTTGTTTAATAATTATTTATATTTAATTTATTAATTGATTAATTTATATTAAATAATATAAAATATTTTTTTATAAAATTGATTAGTTTTATTAAAAAGATAATGTATCCATAGTTAAAATAAAAGTTTACAATCATAACCATAAATTAAACATATAATTAAGACATTTTCCTATAACCAATGACACAAGACACTAGTCACTTAAGATCACATAAGGATTATATAATGAAAAGATTAAAAAATATAACTAAAAATATCGAACAGAAGATAGATGCAAATAGATCTAGTTGCATCAACAGACGAACCATAAAAAGTGATCAAGCTATTGAAAGACACCAACAAACCACAAACCAGAGTCGTGCGACTCGATAAAACTATCCACAAACGCAAATTTCGTATCCAAATCCAATCTGAATGTCCAAAATATTCCATATGATAACAAATAAGCGCAATCTTGATTACTCGTGATGATGTTAAATCCAACCCTGAAAAAAAGATAAACAACAATAACAATTAAATTATCGAAAACGTACTTAAAATAGAGGACAATGATAATAACATTAGTCTAGAATGATATAATCATCTATCAACCAAAGATGAAAAAAGATAAATAATATTTAGGGTTTTTAGAGGAAAAAAGATAAATATATTATAATATTTAATTCATACTTTAAAATGAGTTAGGATCTAATTATACGTGGTGTAAAATTTTTAGTTGGATGAGGAAAATTAAATGTTGAGATTATCTTCTTGTTTTTTCAATAAATATTTTCACATTTATTATTTTTAGTCTCAATCGTAGTAGATTTCCCTCGTCCAACAGTTATAAAAAATTATAAAACTAAAAACTTTACACTATGTGTATTTACTATTTAGATTATGCCCCAATAAAATTAAGAGTAAATTATACATTTGGTACTTAAACTATCAATCTTTATCTTTTATAATACCTAAACTTTCATTTTTTTCAAAATCATACCTAATGTTTAATTTTTATTTCGTTTTAGTACCACCGTTTAAAAATATAACGTTAAATTTTGATTTTTTTTGAAAGTTTAGTTTAGGTACTAAAATAGAGCACAACTGATGATTTAGGTACTAAACACATTAAGTTTTTGAAATTGGGTATTAAAATGAAATAAAAAATAAACGTTAGACATGATTTTAAAAAAATTAAAAATTTAGGTACTAAAATAGATCAATTAATAGTTTGGATACTAAACACGTAATATAACCTAAAATTAAAAGAAAGATTTAACGGCTTACACGATTAAATTAACAGGTAATTGATACAATGAACGTGAAAAGCAGGTAAATGCTCGGCCCCACTTCCCGGTGGCCGTCACACCGCATTCAACACTTTTTGTTTCTCTATATATATATACAATTAAAACTTTATAAATTAATAATGTCAGGACCGGATAAATTTATTAATTTAGAGAGTTATTAATTTAGAGATAAAATAATAATTATTAATTTAAAGAGTTTTTAAGTAATTATACTGTACATGCCAAACAAAAAGGCAAATTAATCTATGTCTCTTAGAATTACGTTGCAAGAGATGAATTAAATTAATAATGAACTCTAAATAGACTTGAACTTTAAAGGAAAAAAGACAACTATTGAATCATATTTCAATAGAGTGTAATATATTTTTTCAGTTTCTATGAATTATTAATTTATGATTTTCTTGGACCAAAAATTATAAAGGGATCTCACGAAAAATTATTATCTTATTATTTTATCGAGTTTTTCAATTTTTTATATTGGCCTAAGTCAGGGCCGGAAAAATTTATTATTTTAGAGAGTTTATTAATTTATCGAGTATTAATTTAAAGAGTTTCTGCTGTATATGCTTCCACAAAACTCCGAGAGGGACATCTGGTCCACATTTGTTGTACGTTGAACTTGAAACTCATTCCTTCTCTTCTTCTTCTTGTTATTGTCTCATCTCATTCATCCTCCTCTGATCTCTTCAACTCGCAGTCATGGTCTCTCAGCTACTCAACCCTATCAGAAATGTACTTGGGATTACTGGTATTTTACTTTATATACATATATTCATATTAGAAGTTGAGAAATTATCTCTAATATGGGTTCTTCTTCTTCTTCTTCTTTCCAGGGAACGTTCTCGCACTCTTCCTGTTCTTGTCCCCAGCGTAAGTTTCTTCTTTGGCCTTTACCATAATCTTTTCATAGCACACTCCTTTTGTTTTTCCATTAAGAAAATAAGGCAAACATCCATTGTTTATTGGTGGAAACTGACAAGACATAATAACTTATTCAAATTGCGATTACCCTCATTTTTTTTATCGCATAGTATTTATCGCAATTGTGGATATAAAAAATAATGTTATTTGTAAGTATCACGGTGATACAACAACAGTCGAGGTAAATTATGTGTTTAGTATATAAAATATCCGTTTTTATCTGTTTTATTGCCTAAACTTTTAAATTATTTTAAAATCATACTTAATGTTTAATTTTTATTTTATTTTAATATCTCACCATTAAAATTTAACATGTTTAGTATATAAACTATCATTTTTTGTATGTTTTAATACCTAAATTTTTAATTTATTTCAAAACTTAACATTAAGATTTTAACAGGTACTTAAATGAAATAAAAATTAAACATTAGGTATGATTTAAAAAAATTAAAAGCTGAGATTCTAAAACTAACCAAAACTGATAGTTTAAGTACTAAACACGTAGTTTATCCAAAATTTATTTCAAAATACATAGACACTTGTACTTTTTATATTGATAAATGAGATGATAGTACATATTTAAATAGGTTCAAAATCATATTTTTCAGTGTGTTGCACCAACAAAATTATCAACTATATTAAGACTCAATCAACTAATTATACTTATCAAATTATATATAAACTGTATATTTTATTATGGATATGAATTTTCTTGCCTTATAAAAACATCTCAGACTACTAAATTGATTATCTGAGGAAGAAATTAATTAATATTATCAGCAAATGAACTGATCATCGATCAACTAATAATTTTATTTGGAAAATATTATTTTGATTAAAAATAAAACTTTGAACGCTAAGCTGCATTTACATCAGTTCAATTTATTAATTCATTTTAGGCGGTGGTCCTTTGTTGATGTTAGTTACGATGGATTAAATGTATTTTGTTTTAATTAATGCGATTTAATTCAGTCCCTTTTTTAACCATCTTTTTTTCCTAATAGTATCACATTTATTATTAGGGATGGATCGAGAGAGGGGCGGGTGTGACAGTCGCTCCCTGAAAATTTTGAAATTACTATATATTTTAGATTTTTTCTATCTATTTTTTTATTGAGAATCTGTTTTCATCTTACTGAAATTTTATAAATTTAAATTCGTCTCCTGAAATTTTAAAAGTTCAAGTTCGTCTTATAATATAAAATTTTACGTGGTCCATGATTATTATTGCAGGCCAACCTATTTTCGAATTTGGAAGAAAGGGTCAGTAGGGCAGTTCTCCCCAGCCCCGTACCTAGCAACCTTAATCAACTGCATGGTTTGGATAATATTCGCACTGCCAATGGTGCACCCCAACAGCACCCTTCTTTTGACCATCAGTGCCGCAGGGACCGCCATTGAGGTCGTCTTCCTAACCCTCTTCCTCATCTTCTGTCATGACAAGAAGAAGCGATTCACCGTGCTGCTAATCATTGTCGCTGAGCTTGTTATGGTCACCGCCCTCGCCACTCTTGTCCTTACCGTAGTTCACACCACTCAACGCCGCTCCATGATCGCCGGAATTATAGCCACTTTTTTCGGTATCATGATGTATGTTGCTCCTTTATCGGTCATGGTAAGTGTCATAGAATTGAGCTGCCCTACAAGACTGGAGATCTTATGTTAGGGAGGTAAACTTAGAAATTTGTATTAGAAATTTATAGGATGCGAACTTACGAGGAATATATAATTAGATTATCAATTAAAAATATAAAGAAAATATCTAAATTATACAAAAATTTAAAATTTTCAGAAATACATCTGCACTCCAACACCCCTCAACTTATCTCCAATTACCTACTAAAAAGATATGCATGCACATGCATATCTTTTAGTAATAAATTTAGGTAGACCATAATACACCTAATTCAATATTTTTAAAATTTTAATTCTAAATAAAAATAATAATTTTAGGAATAATGCATGAATATTTTTTTATTTTGAATATTCTATGATAATTATAAGATAATATCTTTTCAAGATTTTTTATTTATTGATAATATACACACCTTACAGACTTAGTTGTTCGAATTCAAATACCTAAAAAACATATAATTAGTACATGAATATTTCTAAGTGAGGGTGAAATAAAATGCATTATTTTGGTAGCTTGGATATTCCTATAGTAATTAGTATATAATTAGAAGAATATGGTTAGTGTTGTAGCTTGCATTATTCTTCTCCACAAACTTATTTGACAAGCTCTTATTCTAAATATGAGAAAATAATGACGGTGCAGAGACTGGTGATCAAGACCAAAAGTGTGGAGTATATGCCATTTTCTCTCTCACTGGCTTCCTTCCTCAACGGTGTTGCTTGGACTACTTACGGTTTATTTCCTTTTGACCCTTTTGTTCTGGTAAGTTTTACTTACTGTTTTTACCATCTTTTAAAGTAAAAAAATTGATGTTTTTACCATTTTTCACCAACCGAACGACTTCACTTATAAACGAATTTTCATTATTTATTATTCTTAAGGTTTTGAGTCCGAGCATCAGGAATGACAAACATATGCGCGCTCAATATCAAATGATTGAGTGTTATATTTGAATAAATACCGCCTTAAACTTATCTCAGATTAATAAAAGAAAGCAATCAACAATCTTGTTTCAAGACTTTGTTTTTCGCATTTAAATATACATAATATATGTGTGTGTTTCAGGTTCCAAATGGAGCGGGAGCAATTTTTGGTTTAGCCCAGCTGTTATTATATGGTACATATTACAAGTCTACAAAGAGAATAATAGCAGCAAGGAAAGAGACGAAGATGGAGACAGATCTCTCTTTCTCGGAGGTGGTCGTCGCCAACTGTGTGGTGTAAGAACTGAAATTAAATAAATATAAATTGAATAATTTAGGATTTATCGTGTCAAATTATTAAGAACAAAATTTAAATGTGAAAATGTAACTGAATTTATCGATAAATTAAAAAATCTTAAATTTTGATATTAAAATTTCAAATATTTTAAATTTGATCTGATTATTTTAGAGATGGTGACTAGATGAGATGTAAGAAAAATTAACTCATATGTAATTTGAGGATCATAACTCACTTTGCACATTAAATTTACTTTCGGATCAATCATTAATGAGATATTAGTAGGGAAGGGTATGGGTCGGGTTTTGGTCAACCCAACCTGAAAATTTTATATCCTTCACTTGACCCGACCCGACCCTAAAAATATATATTCTACACCCGACCCGATTTTTGAGATAAAATTCGAACCGTATCCGACCCGACCCGAAATAATAAAAAATATTATTTTTATTCAATAAAAATAGTGATTTAATTAGAAAAAAATATATAAAAGGGTATTATTGTAATTATTCATAAACATATAAGATAAAATTATATCTTTTTCCGAGTCAGGTCAGATATTTTTCACCCTAAACTCAAATCCGACCCGACCCGAACATCACCTATAAAAAACCCAAGCCGACCCGAACCCGATTTTTTTAAAAAAACCCGACCCGATTGGGTCGGGTCGGAAGCCATCGGGTCCGGATCCCATGCCCATCCCTAGATATTAGTTAATTGGATTCAACACATATTTGACACATGTCTAATTAATCCTAACCATATTGTAGACACCTAATTTTATTCCAGTGTTTCAATTGAAATTCGGAACGTTCAAAGATAAATGCTTCACTATTTATTTTTGTTAGGCATTGGCAACGAGCTTGCTGGCAAAACGCGGACCATCATCATTAGCTATCGTTCTGGGAGTGTCAAACTTAGTGAAAACATTCTTGTGTAGAAATTTGATGACTGCCTTGACATCATCTGCTAGCAGTGCGATTGCTTCAACCCATTTAAGGATATAATCAATTCCGATAAGTATGTATAGGATACCAAATGATGAACGGAAATGTTTTATAAAATCTATTCTATATACATCAAATAGCTCTATTTCTAATATATTTTACGGAATTAGTTTGTAACATCCCAAAATTTCATTGAAGACTAAATCGATACATAAAATTGTTTTGAAGAGTGGTTAGATAATTTCTTTATGTTGTGGGATTGAATTTAGATTATGAGACGAAAAATTAATTCTTAGAATTTAGTTTGTGGAATATTAAAGATTAAATTGAAATAAAGGAGTTACACATCTCAAAAGTGAAAATAAGAAAAAGAGTTCGTCACATTCCGAATTGTGGGACTAATATAGAGTGTTTTTAAAACCTCATTACCGATTTGAAAACTCTCTAAAGTGTGAGGGTTTATAGTATTGTTTACCTAAAAGTTTAGGGTTAGGAAACCATATCCCTTCCTTTTACGGTTTCTTTCTTTTTCCATTTTGAACCAAAAAGTGGTCGCCACTCTCTTTCTTTCTCACGTTCTCACTCTCTTAACTTGGCCTTTCTTCGATTCTTCATTGCTCAGGTCCCTCTGCTTGACACCTCTGACATCATTGTGTTCGTCTCATCAACCCCATTTGTTATGTGTCCTTAGATTGTCGTTCGCCATCGTTGTTTGCAACCAGTGAATGTTCGAATATTCGAGTTTCATTAAAACTCCATCTCTGTCAATCGTTTTTGAAAATCGATGTTTGTAAGTGACTCCTTATGCCTACAAATATCATTTTATAATTTTTGAGAATTTTCCAATAGCTAGAGGAGGCTTCATGAGCTCCACCGTGTGTGAGTGGGCTTCATCTTGGTGGATCAACTAGTGAATCAGTTTAGTTGAATCGACCTTGAATCGATTTGAACCCTAAACCAGTCTGACTAAATCGATCTGATTAAATCAGACCCTTGACATGAATTGGACTGTTGACCGTTGACTGTTGACCGTTGACTTTGACTATGACCCCTACAATTATTATAACACGCCTTTCTCGTATCTATACTCGAATATGAATTAGAGATGTTACATTAACAATATAAACATAACCTATTTAAAAACTTGTAAAAATTTGTTTCTTTTAAAATTTCAATTTTAATTCTTATTGCTAAAATCAGTTAATCGGGTAAAATCAATAAATAATATTTTAATTCTCAAATCAAGTTCTATTTCATACAGCCATAAGACAGTTTAATATTATTTTATTTAAAGAGTGAAACTACCTAAATAAAAATTCATCTTTTTACTATTAAAATATAACTTTATCAAAATCTAAAACCAAATTTCATGTTCATAACCTTATAACACTTACTAAAATTCACACATATAAATTATTATAACCTTTTAGACATACCAGAACATTTTTTTATCCAATTAAATCAAACCATATAAACATTACTAACACATATACAAGGATACATGTCAACTATAAAATCAAAACATTAATAGGATGTCATTATTGTTACTGATGTATAATCCTTGATAAGTGATACCTGTTAAGCTTCTTACTCTTCAACCTTTTTTCCCTTTACCTACGCGTGAAACAATCGCACACTAAGTATAAACTTAGTGAGGCATATACAAATTAAAGTAAGACATTTCAATATAAAAATATCATCATAAACCAAAATATGATACTTATCATATAAAAATATATATAATCGACTTATTAAAGTCATCTCCATGTAAGAGTGACATGTAATTCAACTTTTCATATTGATCAGATATGTATTTTTCATTTCATTTTAAAACACAACCCAATGTAAAATCAATGAGAACACATGGTATGCGAGTAATATAATTGAGTGTACTGTATACAATATAAATGCCTTGCACATTTAGTGCTCTGTAAATCAATTGCACCATAGGTGCCATATAACCGATATGCACATATAGTACCCTTTTATACCAGTACAAGTATTGTAGAACACAACATCATTGTAACTATAACCAAGATACATCACACTAGCATATTATATGTGTCGACAACATATCACATATGTGTCATAAAATGTATCATGTCATCTCTATAGTGTACACGAATATACCTATACAAGATCGATCGATGACCACTCTATCTCATGGCATGCCAATTGTACCAACCAGTCTCAATATACATACAATGAGCTTTTTAATAAATTTATACCAGTTCACATGTCATAGTATTGTATTTTGATGCATTGAGCATTTTATACCCTAAAATCATTCACAAACTATTTTTAGAAAACATTATGGAAAATATACCACAATAATTCAAACCTATTCTTTTCAACCACTTGAGGTTGACTCGTCACAAGTCGTCCTTATATCATATATAATAAATAAAATGCACTCACCTGATGCCTCACTAGCAAATCTTACTAATGATATACTTCACTCTTGTACTACGCCCTTGATTTTAAGCTTGCTCGAATCTCGATCACGATCTACATAAAATCAATTTACACAAGTACACATTCAAAGTATATGTTAGCACCTTCACTAACATGTTAAACGTATATTAGAATAAAAATTGCTAAAATGCAATTAACACATATTCGATTCTAATTCCATTTCACTTGATCAATGCTACTTTAACTCCTTTAAAAATAACCTTTTAAGTCCCTGAAATAATCATCTTCACCAATAGTTCACAAAACTTTTAAACATTTCACATTTAACCACTAATAAGGATTTGTTTAAAAAAATCATCCCAATATCTCCAATTTCATTAAAATGGTCCCTTGCCATTTAACTTCAATTCAAGCTTCCAAAAGCATAAATACACATTCCAATATTTA